TTTCAGTTGCATTAGTCCTGATTTTGGTTTGTAGTTATTGTCATAATTTTTTGTGACTCTCAGTACTCAAAGTCAAGCGATTTTCATTAATGATTAGCTGAGTAACAATGCAAAACCACTCCCTGATGTTAGATGATGTTAATTAATTGAAATAAAACTCAACATCAGATTTTTTTTTATTTTTTATGTAAAATAACTCTCCTTAACTGCCTCTTGTTGACATTTTTGTAGTCACTGTCATGCTTATTATAGTCACTGTCATACTTATAATAACAATTATGTTTATAAAAAATGACACTTAAAGGGGTGGTCCACTATGATATCATATTTTAAATGTGTAATGTAGCTGTATGAACATAAACAACATCTCTAAGTGGAAAATGCTTAAAGTTCAATGCAAAGGGAGACATTGGCTTTTACAGAATTAGCTTAGCAAAGCCTACAGCGAATGAATTTGGGGACTACAAAAAATGCTTCCAGCTTAATGAGATCATAAATGCTTCAGGTTACATGCATTCACCATACGCATACATGGCCATCGCATGGCCAGATGCGATTTAATGTTACAGCACAGAAAGCTAAAATGCCGTCCAAACGCTGCTATTTCCACAGAGCATCTTCTTTTTTTGTATTTGGTCTTCCAAAGGACACGACACAAAGAGAGAAGTGCTTACAATTTAATTTTAATAATGCTCCAGAGATTTAAAATAAATATACAGCTAACATTTGACAAAGGACAGCTTCCAGAATCTCTCCCAGTTCAGTGCTGGAATCCAGTGGATTCGGCTAAAAACTCCTCCAACTGACGAAGCTGTGGATTGTGAGGCATAACCTAAGATTTTATTTGTTAAAATTGATCAGTTACATGCACAGTTTTTAGCGTTAATGGTATGTTGTAGCAAGGATGTAAACACTGATGTAAACAACGGGAAATGCTCTTTGGCACAGTTAACAATTTAGCTACAAATTCATATTTATCAGTAAAACTCCTTTAAACATCCACAATCTTCAGCAGCGTGTGCATTGTATCTTTATGCAGACGTTTTCCATGCATTATTTATCTCAAATAACAAACTCCCAAAAGATATGTAAACGTTTCATATTACTTACATTTGCTTAATTTGAATATATATGAAAGACACTTGTCAAATTATATTTTAGAGAGCATGAGGTTTGAGCGTGAGGTGTGCTTAGGTGTGTGCTCTTTATTTTCTGTCTGATTCAGGCAGCTAACAGCTTCACTGTTTACAGAGCGCTAACGCGCGTGATTGTAAAGGCATGACGTGGTGACCCGGAGCCGATTCGCCAATCACAGCACATTATGTTAGCTGACCAATCAGAGCCTCTTGAGAGCGGGCCTTTCGCAGAAACTAGGAAATATGACAGCTGTTTTCATGTTACCTGAGTAGCAGTATATAATCAAAGTAAGATATATGAAAAAATTATGTGATTTTCTACAAATAAAGCATGAGCACACATTGCTTTACATCTTATAAACACAACCAAACCTTAAAAATATGCTATGGACCACCCCTTTAAAAAATGATGTGCACATTCATTTAACCCATCCTGTGGTATAAAATCTAATGGAAATGCTTGAACACATTGATTCTTACAGCTGACCTTTTGGCTTATGTATTTGTAGGACTTTCTCTTGCAGATGCAAAATTTACAGCCGAGTATTTAAATAAATCATGCAGCATGACTTACTAAGGTTTGATGTAGCTAGCACATTTATCCACAAATGTTAAAATGATTAATCCCCCATTTTTGCTGCCTGTGTTTTGGTCTGATTATACAGTGCATCCGGAAAGTATTAATAGCGCTTCACTTTTTCCACATTTTTTGTTACAGCCTTATTCCAAAATGGATTAAATTCATTTATTTCCTCAAAATTCTGCACACAATACCCCATAATGACAATAAGTAATAATAACTTAATAACCTACAATAATCTGCATTTTAGCTTCTTACCGCTAAAGAAACTGAAAAAATAAAAACATACCTAAACATTTATTCAAATTTATTTGTAAATATTCAGAAATAAAACACACATTTTTTCTCTAGAGCAAACATTAAACACAAATAAAATGACCTTACCTTTCTCTAAACAATTTTAACTCAAATTAGGAAGATAGTCTAGCTTATTATACAAACAGAAATATAATAATTATAAAAATACAGAACATTTAACATGGCTTAAACTTTGCTGTTGTTTGCTACTAGATTGAGAATCACTAGCGATACCTTCAATTGACTTTTGAAAAAGAAACTCCTCATAGTCGCCTGTGGAGCTTTTTTATCAGCTAGTTGTTGTATTGTCAAGGGCAGCTCCTACAAATTTCCACTCTTTCAGTGTCAAAATATTCCCATATTACCGATGTCCTGTTTTTCTTTGATATTAATTTGTCTATTCATGCTTCTGAAGCAGCAGATGTCATCATCCTACTCGCCTGCACTTACCTGTTTGTTTTTTTATTGTGGGCGTTCCACATAGTTCCGTTGTGCAATTCTTATTGGGCAGAATGAAAGTAAGCTCACTAAATTGGCTAGTAAGACTGTCACACACAGACGGCAGTCACGCATTTGCTGTAGGCGGGAGAAATGAAATGATACGTATGTATTTCATATCGCAGCCTCTTGCGATTAGCCAATTGTAACATTTTAAACATTTCAAATAATCGCACAGCACTTGTGTCAAACATTGTAAAAAATTAACTGTTGCATTAATGTTCCTAATTTGACATAATATAAGTATTTCTGGGCTTAAAGTGATAGTTCATCCAAAATTTACTCATCTTTCACTTGTTCAAAATGTATTTGAGTTTCTTTTTTCTTTAAAAAAATAAGATATTTTGAAGAAAGCAGGAAACCTGTAACCATTGATGTCCATAGTTTTTCCTACCATAGAAATCAATTGTTACAGGTTTCCAGCCTTCTTCATAATATGTTATTTTGTGTTTAACTCAAAGGATCTATACCTTAGAGTGTTCATCTCAAACTCTGGCAACAATAATTTTCAAGGTATTTCATTTTGATTTGATTTGAATTGATTTATTCATTTTCGAAAATACATTTCAACATGGTCAAAAATGGAGCAAGATGAAGCACAAGCTTATTATTTTCCCACTCCATTACCACACATGTCATTCATCACTTAAACTTATTTCTTCTTTTACTTATCTCTTATTTTTACATGAGACACATTTAATCCTTTTGGCATCTTTGACATATTGTATGTTTGATTCTATTTGTACATTTACTTTTTATAACATAGACCCCCAAAAAATACATAGTACTGCAAATAGCCATTAATTTAAATTTCATCATACCTTTCTCATTTGATCCTTTTTCAATCACCTTCATCATTATATTCCTTTAATGATGTATAATTATACAAATTTTAAAATTGAGTAATATCCTGACATTGTTTGAAAATCTGTTCCAGAATGTTGCATAATTTCACACCACAAACAGACATACACAAACTTTTTAAAGTTGTCCTTGTTTTCAACCTCCTATTATGTTTTTCTCTCAGATTATATCCCCCTTGTCTTTCTTCAAAAAACTTTTGTATGCATTTAGGAAGTATTTTATTCCCAGCTTTAAACATTAATTGTGCTGTTTTAAATTCAACCAAATCATTGAACTTAAGTATTTTCAATTTAAAAAAATAAAGGATTTGTATGCTCCAAATACCCCACATTTTCTATCAGTCTAATTACTTTTTTCTGCATTGTACATAAGGATTGTAAGTAAATATATATTATATTGGGGAATATATATATATATATATATATATATATATATATATATATATATATATATATATATATATATTGGGGTATATGTATTCCCCCAAATTTCCACACAATAGCTCATATATGGCAACATAAGTGTGTTATATAATATATACATTGATATATTGTCCAGTATAAATCTTGCTTTTTACACTATTGCTACAGTTTTTACTATTTTTGATATTACATTATTTATTTGCGGTTTCCGCAACTAATTTTATGATCCAATATAAAACCAACAAACATAATTGCATAATCTCTATACTTAAATACTTTATTATCAATTTGGAAATCTATATTATGTCTACTTTTTAATTTCCCAGATAACAAAACCTTTTGTTTTACTTATATTTAATGACAATTTGTTTACGTCAAACCACAATTTCAATTTATTAATTTGTTTTAATCAACTCCATAAATTTTGGTAAATTATGCCCAGAACAAAATGATACTTGTATCATCTGCAAATAAAATAAGCTTAAACAACTCTGAAATCTTACACATATTATTAATGTAAATTATAAACAATATTGGACCTAAAACTGATCTTTGTGGTATGCCACACTTTGCATTTAAATATGATGATTTATGGTTGCCAATTTCCACAAACTGTTGCCTATTTTTTAAATAACTAATTATCCAATCCAAGGCTACTCCTCTAATACCATACCATACCATCATTTAAAGATGTGACATAAAGACAAATAAACCACAACCTGTCCTGATAAGGGAAATTTTCAGAAATGACTCTAAAGGACCTTAAACTTATTACACAACTGTCAAGAAGACAACAGAAGGCATATAGTCAATTGTACACTAGAGTTATCCAACAAAGTTTTGATTACACTGACAATTTAGAACCCTTCAAATCTTCTTATCAAATATGATACAGCCTGCCCAGTAAGTTTAAAGTAGCCACTGAATGTCAGACTTAAAAACTGCACAGCAGTCGTCCATTTTCCACAGACACTGTCGTGGTCAGAGATGAAGAACAGCAAAAGGTAGAAGAAAGACAAGGGGAAAAAAGGGAGCAAGTATGAGGAGGGATTAAATGTGTGTGAGGATGGGGGTGGTGGAGGAGGAAGGGGCCACAGACAAAGTGCGAATGGGAGGAGGGTAGCAGGAGAAGGGGGCGGTGCTGGCGGCAAACAGCAGAGGACGGGACACAGAGGAAGGGGGTTTCTGCCAGAGAAAAGAGAGCAAACTTTGGCATGAGGAGGAGGAGCACGGAGAATGAGCATGTAGGAGAGAAGCAAAGTGATACAGAGAGGAGAAGCAGCAGAAGTACAGTGAACTGACTGGGATTGTACCTCCAGGACAGGCTGGGGAGACGCGAGGAGGCAGCCATGCAGAGCACTATGGGTATGTCAGCAACACCACTGGATTTATTGCAGCCTGCGAATGCACGAGAGTTCAGATTACCACTGCAGCTCACGGGAGCTTTGAAGTGATGTGAAATGAATGATTAACTTTCTTAAAGCTGATAGGGTTTGGGGTGAGAAGACGCTCTTTGAAGTTTTAGCAGCACTGTTAGTGCTTTCTGCTGTGCGAGAATGTTAATGATACTGTGTTATTTTGGGGGCTGAGTAAGTTGGGCTTTTGTTTTGATTTATCAGAGATACAAAGATACAATAGTGAACTCTGTTGTGCTTCATTTAAGTTTGTCACCAGATGTCTCCTTTAAAATGTTTGAAGTAATGAAGACAAAATTAAGACAGTAAGACTGTTACAAACGTTGGTATCTTGTCAAATATTGTGCTCTTTTCTGGTTCTCCAGAGAGAGACATGTGAGATTCCCACAGGAAAACCATATAAGCAGCATGAGGCGTAAACAAAAGTCTCAGTTTACTCTCATTTTAACATCACTGTCCTCTAGAAGACATAAATGAGACGTCTTTTGTGTTTTTTGTCACCTATAGGTATTTATATCTGCTGTAAAGAGTGTTTGTTGAGCTTGTTAAGTTTTTGTGGCTGGTTTGTTTGTTTGAAAGCAGGGCCTTGCGAGTGGATTGATTTACAGGAGTCAACTAAGCGGTTTGGTTTTGTTTTGTGGAGACCATTTTGTGGAAATTCAATGTTTTGAAACTACACTTCAGGTTCATATATACTAAAACATTTTTTACAATTCTTTTAGGAGTAAAAAAAATAGAACTTTAAATTCAAAATAGCTTGGCGCTATTTTTCCTCTTTCCTAAAATTTGTTGAAATTATTCAAACAAATGTACAGAAATCATCTGATAATACTGATGTGAAAGTGTCCCCAGTCAATCACAGCAAAGTTTATATAGAGAAAAGGTGTCAGTGTTGCTCATTAATATTTTCAGTATCTACAGTAACTTTCAGAACATCAGTATCTACTAGAGCTGGGTGATATTGCAAAACATATTATCACAATATCATGTTTCATATCATCTGATATTGACAATTATCTTACAAAATACATTTAGGAATATTAGATTTTTTTTTAAACCATTTTATTTTAATTTGCCAACATTACTAAGGCAAATATGTTCAATAGTCAAAAACAAAAATATTTAAACAAAATTTCTGATCTCTTTATAATAAAATAAATAAGTGTTAAAGAGACTCCTAAACTTGATGAATAAAATGCTACAAAGTGTGTGCAATGATAAAGGTAGAACAACATCTGTAAGATGTCAATAATAATGATGCAGTAAAACTCAAATTATTTAAATACATATTATAACAATACAAATTGTTAAATACTTAAATGGCTACATTACCCCTACGCTAAAACATGTCTCAGATGGGGAGCTAGTGGCTAGGATGCACAAGAAAAGAAACCAAAAAGCCACTCTGGCGACATCTTTACATCTTTTATTGTTTATAATCTCCTCAATGCTGCTATATGGCACTCATTTTCGCATGTGTTGTTATTCTAACCTTAAGTAACAAGTGCACGCGCATGGTTTCTGGAATTGGTTCCAATTGGAATCTGGAATGGTTGCAGAAAAACCATTGCTGCAACAAGTTTATGGAGAAAAGTAAAAAGCACTGCAGTGTTTGGCTGCGCTGTGTTTGTCTGAGGTAATTAGTCTGCCGTTATTACTGAAATGTGTATATTCCATACAAAGTGTGAGGCAGATTGGTTAATTCTACTAGCATGAATGGCGGTGTGCTCTCAGCATTCAGAAAAGTTCAAATGTTTTTAACTACTGTAGATGCGGCTCAAAAATGTGCACGGTTCACATGTGTATGTGTGCACCACCTGCACAACATGGGCGCGTCGCTCAAGTCGCGCGACTTCATTGGAAATGACAAACTTTCACCCTAAACTTATTGGCACTGTTTCCAAGGCACACGTTCATCAGCCACTTTTAATAAAACTATAGTGCTTTATACCGGAACTAAATAATTCTAAATCGTTTTTTTATCGATATTGACAATGGTGGTTCCGTCAATAAATATCGATATCAATTTTATCGCCCAGCCCTAGTATCCACTATAAAACTGCTCTTTAGTGCTTGATTTTACTTGTGTTTGTCTGACAATGATGGATTAAACAGAGGAAATTAAATTCAGAGTAGTGTTAAAGCCACACCTACCTAGGTGGGTTGAAGGTCTTTACCAGCTGATGCAAACTTCTGTACATGGGAACGTCTCCCATATACAAAATTACTGAAAACAACTTTTCAGTAAAGAGTTCCAAAAGGAATCATTTATGTGTGTGTGAAATGCCTTTACTGTACTGTTAAAAACCATTTCCGCTAAAAAGAACCTTATGTTGACGATGTAAACAATGTTTAATGGAAGCATCAATGCCAATGAATTGTCTTTTTGATCTACTTTTTAGATCTTTGGACTAAAAATATTTCTTCTATGGGATCACTGTGAAACTCTCTATTAGGCGACTTTATGTTTATTGCAAATATTTAGTATATTTTTGCTTTTTTGTGACCATAAATTAAAAAGTAACATGACTTCTCAAAAACTGGCCCAGATTGGAACGTCCGGTGTCCAGAATACACACATACACACTCCAATCACTCTTCGCTCAGTGCTTACATAAAGCTTCTTCAAACTAGTCAAACACCACTAAGCTTCTTGCACAGCATGATACCTGATCTATTGACATTTTGTTTTCGAATGGGATGAAGTTTTGAATGAACCCCCCCATCCCCCCACCACCCAAGTATATTAAGATTCCCGTTTGTGTTTAAAGTGGATGTGACTCAGCTCATGGCACATTCTTATACAGTAAAAGCCTGAAATAGAGTGGCCTGTTACTGCGTGTCAGCAGCGTCCAGACTCTGCTCCGGATGAGATCACCTAGGGGGGTGGAAAGGTGCTTGCGTCAGTGAGTCGGAAAATAATAGATGAGTTAAATCACTCTCATATGTTAGAGGGCTCTGAAATACAGCGTTAGTAAATGTGGTCAGCGCACTGTCTTCGTAAGGACACTACGTGCCCCGCCGGCTAGCCTTGTCTCACAGGTTTAAGGTCTCTAAAACACCTCGTTCTATCATTTTTACTGTTTCCATTTATGAGAAGCCTTTATACGCCAAGTGTTTATGTAAGACTGTAGCTTCCTGCAGACGTATATACAGAGGGAGAGCTCATTAACGTCGAGTCAGTCTCTGCTAACTGCACTGAATCACAGCTTTCCATGCCACTCTTTTTGCTCCCTGTCTGAGCTCGGCTGGAATCTGTCGGGATGGTGTCTCTATATGTCCACATCCTCTTGTGGCTGGTCCCCCTGTGGCATGTTTGCAAGTTTTCACGAGCAGCTTCAAGGTTGTCTTTTTTCTGTTTGTGGCTCCTGCGTGGTTCACCATCTCTGCAATTTTGTGATGAATTACATATTCATGCTGGCATAGTTTGTCTGAGGCCGCTGGTTATGTAAGCGCTGGTGTGGAATTAATTTAGCAGTATGTGCGTTGTGCCACTTTTTTTCCCCCGACTGCAGTGCATATCTGCACTGTGATTTCAGTTTGATCATGAGACTGATGATTATGGCTTGTCAGAAACACCGCAAGATTATTTATTTGCCTCTTTATGCTGATGCTTGGTTCAGAAAGCATCGACAGGAGGCGAAGAAGCCATTTTGAGAAGATCAATGGCCAAAGCTAGTAAAGAGCTACTTTAGCTGGAAGAATTTACAGAGGCTGCACTTAAAAACATATACATGGTCTTTTTAAAGTGAGTAACCAGCTTTGCAAAACACAGTTAATGTTCTACGTTACTCATTTTGTCCTTTAAGAAATATATCATTCAAATTATTAGTTAAGAATTGTAATTTGTGGTTCTCAGTAGTTGAAATCAATCATCAAATTCAGATAGAATGTTTGACCTGCCGACCCATCTATGTATCTGGCTTAAGGCTGATTTATACTTCTGCGTCAAGCGGTAGCCCTCTGTAGCCCTCGCCGTGGCCGTCGCTGACGCGCACTTTTTAAAAAATGTAACAACACATTGCAACAATACATAGCGCAAGCTCTGTGATTGATCTGATTGGTAACGCTGATGACAGTGGGTGGGATCAAGAGCAACGCGAACCTGTTGGAGTGAGTGTTTACAAGTGTCGAGTCAGTGAAGGAGCTCCAGATGTAAAGTTTTGTTTTGTGTTTACTTTATGATTTAAGTTATGGCATGTCTGCCGGTTCCCGCCTCAAAATGAGCGAGTTTGCACTTCTGCATTTGTTGCCTTGTACTTGTATATGTGTAATGACAATAAAGTTGAACCTAATCAAATCTACTTTCACAAAAGGATAGCGTTCAGAAAAAACAAAACAATAGCGAAGAAAAACAACACAGAGGAACATAAACACCTGCTGCCAGCTAGCATTTCGGAAGTGTTATCGCAGAGCAACACAGAAGTATACGGCATGAGCCGTGGGTCATGCCAATTACTTGATCCAGAAGTATAAACCAGGCTTTAAAGAGCACCCATTTTACCCCTTTTTCAAAATTTAAGATACGTCTTTTGTGTCTCCAGAATCTTTAAAGTTTGACCTCTAAACACCCATCGTATTATTTATTATACCTTTCAGAATATTGGAATTTGCTGCTCTGAACATTAAGCAGCTGTTTTTGTTTTTTTTTGCCTGTGCCTTTATTGCTAGTTCTCCCCGCCCCCCGTTCTAATGAGCATGTCAGAGTGTGCCTCAATCTTTGCTTCGGCTGCATCAGATAAACAGCACAGTGACAGACATGAAGGAAGTAGAGAAATACTACAGTAAGAACTTTCACAATTATTATTTATGCAATTTTTGTGGAGTCACAAATTATGAGTCACACACAATTTCTTTACAAATTATTTTTTTTTACATTAAAAAGTTTGAAGAGCCATCAGTTCATGGTCATTTATTTGGGCATTAGTTTGTCCTTATGTGCTCTTTTATAAAAACCAAACTGAAGGTCTGGATTTCACTCTCTTAGATCAGTATGTTTTTTTTCAGACCATACTCAGTACTTTTGAAATACTTCTTCACTTTATTACCATCCTATCAGTGGCATCTCCTCAAAATGGCCACTCTCACAGTAATAACAGTGTGGTGGAGCCACAGCTCCTCTCCGTTCTGCTGATATTCCAAGTGTTTGTTTCTTACCACTGGATTGAACTGAATAATCATTAGTGGTTGGAAATTCCTACCGTGGCAAAGAGCAGCTGACTCAGAAACAACCGACTCCTGGATGTTACATGTCCATTCCCACGCTGGGCGCTTTCCTGGAATTGCTATGGGTCAAATTGACCAAGTGTTGCTGACCATAGGGCAGTAGAGTGACTGCATAGCCAGATTTTCAGCATAACATAACTCATTAAAAATTCTTAGACAGAAATAAGTTCAGTACTCGGAAATCTGTAATACAGAGCTTTTGTAAACTGTATACATTTTGGTATATCATATCACATGTAGATGATAAGAGAGATACATTGCCATGTACGGGTGTTATTTTAACCAGTTACTTTTTCTAGTTCAAAACAAACTACCAATTTACATCGGAAGACAATGGAAAACAAAACATGTTGTAAATTTGCCCAATCAGCATACACTTAAGCCATGTTATATGCTAGGTTTGATTTCTAGTTTCCTCCAAACAGAACAGTTCTAAGAACTTTGAACTAAAAAACTTTGAGTCAAATGTGTGTGTGTGTTTATATATATGTATATATACAGTTAAAGTCAGAATTGTCAGAATTGTTAGCCCCCTGTTTATTTTTTCCCCAATTTCTGTTTAATGTAGAGCAGATTGTTTCAACACATTTTTTAAATTAATAATTTTAATAACTTATTTGCCATGTTGATAGTAAATAATATTTTACTAGATATTTTTCAAGACACTTCTATACAGCTTAAAGTGACATTTAAAGGCTTAACTAGGTTTACTATGTTAACTAGCCAAGGGTGATTTATAAATATACACAGCTGAAGTCAGAATTGTTAGCCCCCCTTTGAATTTTTTTTCTTTTTTAAATATTTCCCAGGCGACACAGTGGCACAGTAGGTAGTGCTGTCATCTCACAGCAAGAAGATCGCTGGTTCGAGCCGCGACTGGGTCAGTTGGCATTTCTGTGTGGAGTTTGCATGTTCTCCCTGCATTCACGTAGGTTTCCTCCGTGTGCTCCGGTTTCCCCTAAAGTGCAAAGACATGCTGTACAGGTGAATTGGGTAGGCTAAATTGTCCGTAGTGTTTGAGTGTGAATGACTGTGTATGGATGTTTCCCAGAGATAGGTTGCAGCTGGAAGGCCATCCGCTGTGTGAAACATATGCTGAATAAGTTGGTGGTTCATTCCGCTGTGGCGACCCCAGATTAATAAAGGGACTAAGCCGAAAAGAAAATGAATGAATGAAATATTTCCCAAATAATGTTAAACAGAGCAAGGACATTTTCACAGTATGTCTGATAATATTTTTTTTCTTCTGGAGAAAGTCTTATTAGTTTTATTTCGGCTAGAAGAAAAGCTGTCAAAATTATTAGAAATTGGGGGAAAAATAAAATATATACCCCAAAGTTTTCCTAATATTATTGAATAACACCTATACCTGTCCTAGGACAATAAAAAAAAAACAGTTTTGATTGCCTTAGGTTTCTGAATTAAGTTGCATTAACTGAAATTTCCTAAGTGAAATACACAAAACTATGTAATAACAAATATGATAATACTGTTGACCCATATTGTTCTGAGTTGTAAAATCGCACAGAGAGAAATAAACAAAATTTACATTGACATCAGTTACATTCCATTATCTATTTCAGAAAATGTGTAAAATACGCAACTGGTAGCGCTAAATTAACCAAAGCGTTACAACATTATAAAAAGAGTTTGAATTTTCCTCACTTCACAACAAATTATTTATATCTCACAGCATTCAGAACAATAAAAATTAAATTAAATTACTTAAAATGATATAAAAAAAACTTGTGTTTTTTCATATAGTGAAGTTTTCACTGTAAATATTAAAATCAAAACTTACAGTAGTTAATATTATAACTATATTAATATTTAATGTTCTCAATATTTACACCACCATTGCATATTTTATAAGACTTTGAAGTTGTAACATTGAAAGAGATTTGAAATCTAATTAAGAAGAAATGACTTTGTCTAATTTACACAGCTTCTGAGAAGCTCAATTTACTTTATACCAGTCAGGCCATGGGAGGTTGTTCCTGCTGGCAGATGCTCAGTAATGGGCACTACGGCTGGCAGTTGGGCCTGTGCCAGTAAGTTTAGTGCTGCACACTGGGTGAAACAAAATGTCTGCTGTTGATTGGCAGGTAGTGTCAGTCCAGATGGCAGCAGCTCCTGCGTGGTATTGTGCGAAAGACGTCACCCGCTGCAACTTATTCAGGAGTTTGGGCCAGCCGGTTACTTTCTGAAAGGCTCTTAAGGATGGGATACCCAGGGAGGCTCGGACAGTGAGACAGGAGAGGTTGTCTTTGGGAGGTTTTTGAGAAGGCTCGGGCCTCTGTTTAAGGAGGCCTTTAATAGAGCCCATATGCTTTGAGATGCTAAAAAGCCGACCTGCCCCCTGTCTTCCTTAAACTTTGAGTCTTTTATGTATTCCTTCACTTCACTCAATTCCTTCCCCTTCCTGTGACTGATTTATGCATGTTCTCTAACACTCCACCTGCTCAGGTTTTAATTTGTCTTTCTTGTGTGTTCCTCTCATTCTTGGAGTTTTCGTTTTTCTCTGTTTTTGTTTTAAACTCTGGCTCCCTCCCCCTCTCCCTCCCTTACACCCCAGGCAGTGCACATGTAGGCCTCAAGTATCATGGCAACAGCCCCAAACAATGCCAAAAGCCAAAAGCCTGCAACAGCAACAGGTTGGCAATGAAACTAGCAGGGCCAATAATGCTTGTTTTGGAGGCAGCGTTTCCCTGCTGCTTTTAATTCGATCCAGCGTTTCGACAAAGAAACATACAATTAACAAGGATGAGGAGGAGAGCTACAGGGATTTACTATGAAAAAATAGAAGCTGCAGTCATGTGGTCAATGGGTATCACTGGGAAATAGAGAATTGAAATGAATTAGTAAATGGCAAAATTCATGCTACTGCCAGTTAATTAAAAAAATTAATTCAGAACCTGAAACTTTTTAGATTAAGTTTTTCATATATTTTCAGCATTAATAAAAATGCTTAAATTCCATATCATTCATCCATTTATTTATTTTCCTTCAGTTCAGTCCCTTATTTATCATGGGTTGCCGCAGCGGAATGACCCGCCAACTATTCCAGCATATGTTTTACACAGCACCCTTCCAGGCGCAACCAAGTACTCTCCCATTCACACACACACACTCATAACAATACGGCCAACTGAGTTAATCCAATTCACCTATACACTGTAAAAAATTATATGAACAATTAGTCATGACAGCATATGTGTTCAATTCATTGTAGTTCAAGTCATGTTCTAACTTAATTTTATATGTTATGCTAGCAGTTTTATTTCAGTTTAACATAATATAAGTTCAATGTACTCATAAGGTTCATCTGATTCAGCTTAAAAGTTTAAGGCAACCATGATTTTTTTACAGTGTACAGCATGTCTTTGGACTGTGGGAGAAACCAGAACCCCCACGGGGAGAACATCCACACTTTAGGGCAACTGGCCCAGCTGGGTCTCTGACCAGCGAACTTCTTGCTGTGAGGTGACAGTGGTAAACACTGAGCCACTGTGCCGCCAATTCATATCAGCATTCTACAATTATTTCTCAATTATAAGGTGATAGAAAAGACTTATGTAAGCATGCAATTAGGCAAATATTAATCTTAATTAAAATAAACAAAATGTTTAAATATATTAAAAAAAGAAAACATTTTTTATTATTAAAAAAATATAGGTTTTGGTTCAGTATATTCAGCTATGGTGAGCATAATAAAACAATTACATATACTGGTCAAACGTTTGGGGTAAGTAGGATTTTAAATGTTTTAAAATAAGGTTCTCCTGCTCCCCAAGGCTGCATTTATTTCATCACAGTACACATTGTAAAACTGTGAAATGAAATTGCACTTTAAAATAAGGGTTTGAAAGTAGTTTATTATTTAATTTGTATTTTATTCCAGTGAATTTAAAGTTACATTTTCAGCTTCATTTCTCCAGTGTTTTATTACCATCATTACTATTATTATTATTATTATTATTATTATTATTATTATTATTATTATTATTATTAGTGGTAATAGCAATAAAATCAATAATGACTGGAGTAATCATTTTGTAGGAAAATACATACAATTAAAAAGCAGTTATTTAAAATTTTTATAAATATTTAACATATTTTTTACATTTAATAAATGCCGCCTTGACGAACAGAATAGTTTTCTTAAAAAAAAAACATTTTAAAAAACTAGTGTATATTAAAAAGAATCCAAACTATAGAAAGGTAAAATGCAACTTTTAAAATATAGATTTTTGTAGATTTGTCACACTTCGGGAATTTGTCGTACATGCTTTAGTCATTTAATTATTATGTTGCCCATCTCTATAAATATCAATATTATGTCCGAGTGTTGTGGAAAGCTACTTTAAAAAAGTAATCCATTACAATATCGGGTTACTCCCTAAAAAGGTAACTAGCTGCGTTACTTAGTTACTTTTTATGGTAAGTAATGTTTTAGTTACTTTTGCGTTCTAACCTGGCAGAGGCTTGATCATTTTCAGAACTTATTAGGTATTTTTAAATAGAGGAGCTCTGCAATTAACAATACGCTGTATAAGCCCATTTACCCTTTAAAAAAACACATAAAAAAATGAATGTAGGAGAATGTTATGTTCAAGAACCTCCTGATCCCAGAGTTTTACATGTCATATAAACAGATTAATGATAGTTTCAAGAGTTCACACTTCGCTGATGATTGATTATAAAGCTTGTTTGGCATGCTGTCCGTGAGAGAGCCCTGAGCTCATAAGATCCTCGAGCCTGGGGCTCCCTCCCGTTTCCAACGTGAGAGGAGAGTTTGAGCTCTGGCAGATCTTGATAACTCCCCTGCTGTAGTAGCTAATGAACAGAGAGTGATTGCTTTTAAGAGATAACTACTTAGAAGCATGTCTATGGTGCCGATTTAGTTTAGTCAATTAACTTAATTTGCATGTTTTTGGATAGTGAGAGGAAACCTGGGAAAATGTGTAAACTCTGCACAGAAACATTGGCTGGCTTGGTAAGTACTAGAACCAGTGACGTTCTTGCTGTGAGGCAACACTGCTAAGCACTGGGCCTCCATGCCACCCATCTAGGAAAGGAGTAGGAGGGGTGGAAGGGGGAATTGCCGCAAGCAATCATAAGCATGTGATCCTCTCGAAGTTAGTTTAAAAATAAACTTCAGTTAAAGCAATGCGTTACTTTTGTACTTTTTGTCTTATTTAGATGTTTTCTTCCTTGTGTTCAAAATAAAGAGAATACTTCTATTGCAGATATGTAAGACTCTGCCATCTTCCTTTCTGCCTGATCCTGCATTCTCTTATTTTGTGCGGGATTCAACGTAACTACGTTTATTTTAATTCAGTATTTTTTTTTTAAAAGCTAAGTAACTAAACTAACATTCTGGTTACGTACGTAACCTACGTTCCCAGCATAGGAGACGGAGACGTGTGTCTGTAAAAACAGACTTTGGGAGTGCTTTAGATGACCAATCACTTCTGAAGATACGGACGGACGCTCTGAATCAAGCGTTTCTGCATGAGCATTTTGAAAGGCATTTTGTGTAAATGACAGTTGAGCCTGCGCAGATCTAGGATTGACCTTAACCCCTGCTCTTTTTGGGCACGATGAAATACGGTCTGTAAAACCCTGACCTTATCTCGGCTGGAGGGACCTGCTCGATTGCATCCTTCACCAGGAGGACAGCAATCTCCTCTCGCAAGACAGGGGCGCTCTCGAGTATAACCCTCGTGAAAAGGACATCGGTGAACTTGGGAGGGTATGAGGAAGGGGCAGCGGGAGGAGCAGTTTTCCGAGCCTGATGGTAGATGACTTCCTCCATCGCTTTAGACTGCTCTTTCACCGCAGAGAATTCCTGGGTGAACTCCCCTACGGTGACGCCGA